GGGACTTTCAGCATCTCGGTCTCTTTTTTCTTCTTCACCCACTGAAAGCATGTGATTCCCCTTTTCTGTTCAGGAGCTCAAGCCATGTGTTCCTGTTCACCATTAAACCATCTTCCCAAGCAGCCTCAATGTTTCCAGTGTCTTTTCCCTCATCTGGAACTGAACCCAGAAGGACATTTCTTCCAAAACTATAAAATTCCTAGAGAATTTTGAATAATTTGTCTCCATTCTTACCTTTTCAACCATGTACTGTAATTTCATGCTTTTCTGACTTTTCCTTATCTCATTATACTGTATATCACAACACAATTCTAATAATCTCCTTGAAGAACCAGAATAAATTGGAAATATTTTTGTGGCTAATATTATTTTCAGCTAAGATTAGTGATTGATTATTTAAAAAGTTTAAATTCTTCATCTTTGCTCTAGTAATTTTTTTAAAGGTACATCTATTAACTTTTTTATTGCTATATTCAACACTGCATCTTTTGTTATATAAATCTGATTTTTATTATGGTATTAATATAAACTGGGGAAACCATATTGCTATCACACTCTCCCGATAGTACTTCACCTCTTGTTTCCCTTAAAAATCATCCTTATTTCACTTAATGTTAAAAGGAAAATTGCAAACCTCAGGAAATGCAGCAAAAAAACTCATACAATGGAGCATGGCCATGCGTTACCTCACATGAACATTTAATTAAGTTAGAATAATTAGTCAGCGGAACAACTTGCCTCTAGAAGTTGTGGGTGCTCCAACTCTGGATGTTATTAAGAAGAGATTGGACAACCATTTGTCTGAAATGATATAGGGCTCCTTGCCAGAGCTTGGGGTTAGACTAGAAGACCTTTAAGATTCCTCCCAACTCTATTATTTTGTTACCGTAGTTCAGATGTGACAGAACACCCAGCTAAATAACATGGCTGTATCACTTTAACAACAAATTTCCTGGTTCCTGTTGTGTGTTGTGGCCATAATTGAGAAATAGCTGTAGCACACATAAAAAATGTTATAGCAAATGTCCAAGCTATGATGGAAATAATCTCTCAGCAACATGAAAATCCCTGTTTTCCTTTTCCACTGCAGGTGACCTTATGCTCAAACACAGTGAAGACCTATGAAACTGCCCTTGTAGTGGACATCAAAGGTAGTGGGGAGGATGTGCTGGCCCTCCCAATTTCAGCAAGGTACTGTTCATTTCATTTCTGCAATGTTGTAGCCTCTGGTGATTCCAGTCTTTGTCTCTATTCTAAACAAGATAACCTGGAAGGATCAGTGAATAGAGAATGGGAAACTCACTGCAGCCAGGTGAGTGTGGCTGGGTGGGCCTGGCAAAGTGCAGCCAGCTCAGGGTGGATGACTTGGGGCAGCTGACGCAGAGTGGCTGGATGGGCATGGCCAGGTGGGTACAGAACAAATTGCCCCAGGCAACTGGATGTGGAGCCAACTCGACACCCTGTCAGAACAAAAATCACCTGGAGATGTGGCAAAGCATGGAAGTGGCAAAGTTTGAAAGGCAAGGGGTGGATTCCCCTTCCGATTTTTTTTGCAGAAATGCTCTGTTTTTCTTTCTCCTTTGAAGAGCCGAGGTGGCGCAGTGGTTAGAGTGCAGTACTGCAGGCCACTTCAGCTGACTGTTATCTGCAGTTCAGCGATGCAAATCTCACCGGCTCAAGGTTGACTCAGCCTTCCATCCTTCCGAGGTGGGTGAAATGAGGACCCAGACTGTGGGGGC